AAATAGTGTTGCCAGAGATGGCAGACGCCTCACTGGGGTGCAAAACGCACCGGCCGAGCCGAGCCGGGCCGAGCCGTGCCGAGCCGAGTTTTAGTAGTTGCCAAATAAACAATTACGTCTTCCTACTATTTCTTCTATATTTTGTGCTTGCGAAGAAGGATAGCAAATGGGAGTTTAGCCAGAAAGCTGCCACTGACTTTCTCATTCGAGAGTTACAAACAAATCGATGACTGTGATAACAACAATTTACAAATCTTACTTTCTCGTAACACAGTGCGTTTTTCCGATATTTGTAAGGGCACCCCACCATCCATTAGGTATATCGAAAAAAATTGTTGTTATCACAGTCATCGATTTGTTTGTAACTCTCGAATGAGGAAGTCAGTGACAGCTTTCTGGCAAAACTCCCAGTAAATTTCATCTTCAAAACATTGGCAACTTATTCTACCGCCACATTTTCCCGATGCCCCTGCCTCTCGGAATATTTCCGAATGTTCCGCCTCTCAGGAAGATAGAGGGTTTTGACTTTTTGACACGGGATCATGTCAGGTGCGAGCTGGTAGGATCAAGCAAAATAGAAACGTTGCAATTTCTATGAGTGGCAAAAAAAGTAGCAACAAATATGGCAAACGATCGAGAAATTTTATAAAGTTAATTTTTATAAAGTCCTCCGTTAGTAGTAATGAAACGAAGGAGAGGTACACCAGCGGAATGAACATCCGTTTTTATTTTCGCTCATGGTAACTTTTTTTCGTCACTTGTGGAATGATCATTTCGGCTCTACTTTCATTCAAGGTCATGGTTTGGTCAATCGTGCTATAAATCGCCTGGTTTGTTTCAGTGACCACAGAATACTCGAAGAGATAACAGTTTTGTAAAAAACTGCGAGAAGTCCGGAATTGATGCAATCAAATTTTGAAAATAAAAAAACATACTTCTGCGAAATGCCAGCAGCAGTTTTTTGCGTCGTACCCAGGTCTGTCTTCGTTTCCGCTCTTCGATTCACAGCACCAGCAGCGGTACTGCCAATATCGCGTTCTAAGATGAATACAGCTTGCTCTATTTAATGGATTTCATCAATATAAATGTTGCAAAAAATCCGAATTTTTTCCTTCTTCTTTCAGATGTGCAACTGACAATTTTTCCAGTTGCTTTGACCGATACTGCATCACCTTCTGGTCAGCATGTTGGGTCAGTTATGATGTTCGTTTCGTCCCAAACATATAATGTTTGCCCTCTTTGATGGACGAGTAAATAAAAATATTTGATTGAAACGGAAAAAAAACCTGGAACTTTTTGCTCACGTGCGGCATGCTTAGCTCCTTGGTGACCATAGCGATGTGATGTGCATTTCTCGTTGGATGGAAGAAAATAGCGGCGATAATCCGCATCACTCATTGGTTTTATGGGGCGATTATCGGACAAAACTGTAGCACCCTTATTTTCCTGCAAAATTAGTCAGAGAAATCACCAGATTCTTTGTTCTTTTCCGAATTTTGTTGTATGGATCTTCAGTTTTACTCGTTCCACCTTATGAAGGAATTGCCAGCTTAACATTTCTCCTAAAGAAGCAGTTGTCGAGGCTCTAGCTATTCCGAAATGTCATTGGTGTGTGTATATTGAGTACCACCTCGTCCGGAATGTTCTCGCTGTTGAACCATGATGATACTTTGTCATCTGAGAAGTGTCGAAAAAATATTAAAATTCGGGGAGTGCTGATAAGTTGATGCGATAATCATTTGATTATTTCAATTATTTTTCAAAATTACGTATTTTTTAATATTTTTTAAAATACTTTTCTGCATCGTTAAAAACATTCGGTACTCAAGTCGCTTTTTTTTTGATAAATTCAAGACGCTTTTTTTGATCTCCTCCTAACAATAACTATTTTACGAACAGAATACTCTGACAATTTTTCTTCCTCTTTCGCTTTCAGTGATAACCATTTATCATTGAAGTTTCGAAACCGAAAATATGCATTTTCAAATCATGAATGGCAGTTGGTGTAAACATTTTTAGTTTTTAGAGATCATGTAGACAGTCGAACGCTTCTCTGGTCAATGCCGCCATGGGTATCGCTGTTGCCAGCTCTACTAACAACTAGCAGAAGTCGTCTATATGTTGATAAATCACTATTTCCTCGAATGTTACCTTAAATGAGAAAAAAGGCTACTCGAGTGACCTTCGCGGAAAGAGGCATACGTGGGTGATGGAGATATTGAATGCGATTTAAAGGTAAGCAGTTCAATACAATACTTCTTGATATCGTACTTGACTTATGATTTCAGTGCGCTAGCAAAAAGTTCCAGATCGAGGTCCCGGACACTTTTACTTAAAGATAAAATGTGTATACATAAACAGCTGACCTGCCTGAGTTCGTCGAAAAAACGCTTATTCAGCATCTGACGTTCAGCTTGCTTGTTTTCTTAAATAATGGTAATATTCTTAGTGATGATGGTTACTAAATGAAAGTTGCGCGGCCTTAAAAAAAAAGACAGTGAAGGTCCTCAGTGTGGTAAAAGGACCCGCTTGAACTTTTGTTTAAAATTTTGTGGGCGTGAGAGGACCAAAGTAGAGAAGAATGAAAAAGTTGCTAGCTGTATCAATGGCAAAAAAATGTAATGATCAAGGAGCGACAGAACAAAGTACCAAAATAAGGAGAGCATATGATTGATGAGGCTGAACCCTTGGAGTCTGAATTTTATTTTTCGTAGTCAAGAGGTACCTTTCGGGGTCGATGTAACTACGAACGTCTTATTGTGGATATCGTCGCCACCAGAACAGTCCTGTTCAAAATTTCTGAAAATACCACTCCATTTATGATTCCGGAGAATATCTCTCATAATTTAACATTTGCCACCATTTATTGTCACTTGGATACTACTAAGGTAAGGTAGACCATAATAAGATGGGCTCATTATATTCCAAGAGTAGACAGGTCGGATTATTAATTGGCATCCATGAGCGATGTTGGATAGAATAAAATATTCTTCTTTGGAGACTTCTTTACCGTTTCTTTTTATGCTTTATTTTATGTACAGTTTTCTCAGTTTCTTGTCTATTAATACATTACTTCGCATTTTTTCAAATAGTGCTAAAGAAGCTGCTAGTGAGATGAAAAAACCCACTGGATCGATTATATGCAGCGTAGATATCTAGACTTTTGTAAATGCAATTTACCAAACTAATAAAGTTGAGTCGGATGTTGTACAGTGGAAGTATCATTTTACACCTTTCAGAGAAAGCTTTATCAAAAAATTTCCGATTTTCTCACTCAGAATAACAATTATTAGCTAAGGTGCCTGGATGTTCCTATGCCATGGACCTATTTACTTCTTCTCACCCTCTCCCGCGAATACTGCCGAAAAGTATTTGGGCTCTTTTTATCGGCAAAAAGTTTTTTGAATATCAAACTCTGCAAATCCGAAAAAAAAGGGTTCACGAGCAGTCTGTAACTCGACTCACCTGGTTTTTCGAGAAAGAACCAGAAGAAACGAGAAAAAAAGCTAAGCTTCTCAGGTAAAATGATACATACTTTGTCTCACCGATCGGAAGAAATGCGATTTTATCGCGGTCGCTCGCCACGCCGCCAGGATTCGCAATGAGCTTCTTGGGTTGCTGCTGCATTCTGCCTACTTCCGGTAAGTAATAATCCGTGCGCTCCTGTAAAAGATAATTTTATCAGCTATCGCTATAATTTTTTACTTTTATAAACTCGTCCATGAATTACATTCAAAACTGGAGGCTTTCGGAGTTTCTGTGCTTTCACTGCATGTTCCTTTTTAATTATGTAGCTATAGTTCTTATAAAGGGGCAGTGAACACTTTTACTTCTACAAGAAATTAATTTGTTTCTGATCCTAATTTTCAATGTTGTTTAAAAGCACGCCGATGGCGCATTTAACTCTTTGGCATATTTCAGTACCAACTTACCATCGAAATAAATTAAAAATTAAAAAGTCATAAATGGGTTCATTTTCTTACTGAAGTTTTGAACTTTCGACCTTTTGCATGACAATACTGCTACTTGTCACTGCGCCTGCTTTACTAACAGTTGGTAGAAGTCAAATACTCTTTTGTTGCACAAAAAGAGCGATGAAGAAGATTAAAAGAGTTACATGGGAAGTTCCAGTTCGAATTTAGGCACGCAGTTCACGGCTTGAGGTCAGTGATGCAATAATCGTAAATCTTATTTGTCGATTTTTAAATTCCAAAAAGTGTTTTCTTAGGCAAAATGTATTGAATTTTGGAACATTTTTGTCGTTGCGAGCATTCATCGTGTCAGTGACCTTTCGATCTCTCTCTTATTCTATCCGTCCGGAAAAATCAAGCCAAACCTGATACAATACTCCAACTTGTCCGTGCAGCGCAACCTCTAGTTGTAAAATTCGATTTCGCAACTGGTGATTCTCCTCGCTGATTATAGCCAGTTTGCGGCGAAGTTTGCGGTTGGCCTCACACAGTCTCAAATAATTGTGGGTCGCCATACCTGTAATGGATCACAACTTCCGAAACATAGCCTTCAGCGATGGTCCTCAAAGCAGGAGTAAGCCGGGTATTGACGCGCTCAATGCACATGAAGTATACGATAAGAGTACAATGTAAGAAGTGCAACTACGTATCAATCAAGGCTGATAAGAATGTTTTCGCGCTATGCCCCCGATCTCCGGTACATTTAGGCATTGTTCATTCTAGAATTTTTAAGTTGCAATTGTCCGCTGATGCAATTGTTCACTGTACTTTCCCGCCAACACCATTAATTGGCATAAGCACCCACTGCAGTTTTACTAGCAGCATGGCGGGGTTCGTGATTATAAGTAGACTGTAGCAACCAGGTAAGTTAACGTTGGAAGACAAAATAGCGAAGGCGCAATAAACACATTTTTTGATACTGCAATGTTTTAATGTGTTCTTCACCTCGCTAGTTGTTCTTTACCCTATATTACTGACTACCCTTCCAGTCGCTTCGACCAGTGCTTATAACCTAGAATCATCTGCTAGCCGTTCTTTGGTTCCTTTCATCTTCCGCGAAAATCGCCAGCTCAGCAGTTCTCCAATTTAACCGTTTGAAAATACCACCTTGGTGTGTATTTTGAGCATCACCATCTCGTCCCTCGACGTTGTCACTCTTCATAGTCACGGACTGGAGGACTAATAACGCACAAACGGGAAAGCTTAAACTGTTTTTTGCTCGTATCTCAGGCAAATTGCGAGAGAGGGAAACAATACTCGACAGTTTCTAATGCATGCAGGTTATGAAATCAGGAAAATCGGCATTGGAAATTTGCTAAAATTTTCTGAAATCTACTGTAAGCTATTTCATGGTTTCACACTGGCGTAACCTATATTATCAAGATAACGTATGTTAAGAGGAAGAATTGTGCTGAGTAGTAATGACAGCGATAACAGTTAAACAGCTGAATGATACGTCAGCGGGGTGTAGATTTTGAGGTAAACGGAAATTGCATCCTAACTTGAAATAGTGTTCTGGAAAGTCGTCCCCTAACACGCGTGTATCGCCAGTAATTATGTGGCCAAGGGGAGCTTACATACAAATGAGTTGGAACAGGCGCATGGGAAGAGAGCTGGTGGTTGAGTAGCGAGGAGGGTTCTGTCAATGTATTTAGCATGGCAATGTGGTTACATAAAATTCTTCCTAATGGGGGATCATGCTTAAAGGCTGTGGTGAATCGGGGTACGGAGATGCCATCACATAAACGTCGAAAAGCGCGATTATGAACCAAACAACTGTAATAGACCCGGCCGTAAGCGGGTCCAGGATTGGGCATAACGCCTCAAAACGGATAATTCTGCACCACTAACTGCTGTGAAGCGGGGTGCCTAGCAGAGAGGTAGGAACTGATTACGTGCCAAAGAAGAGCACCGAGCAGATTAATTTACTCGGTAGAGAGTGAAAGTAAGAGTTCGGCTGCTTTGATTATGCAAGATCCGTACAAAGGCTTGGAGTGCAGTGGGGTTGTCGGAAGTCATACTAAGAGCAGAATCAGTGAAACTGTGGTTGATAAATTTAGAAGTCTGACGTCTTCGTCCGCGTCGGCGGTTGATTCGCGGGAGAGGTACGGAGAAGTATGGGATAATTTTAGTATTAGAAATAGCTTCCTGAGTAACCACACCAAACCCCTTAATGTGGTCGTTTAAACCGAAAGGATAAGTAGTCTGAAATAGGCGTATTCAAAACCGTTCAGCATCACTCAGTCGATGTAAATCGTTTACGACTTCAAGAACTTGAAAGGACAAGTCGGGAACGGAGTGGCCATGCTCGCGATAGTGAGTATATAGAACGCTGTTGGAAGTGTCATGGCGGACATTACGAACATTTTCTAAAACCCTAGCTCGCAAGCATCGTTTGGTTTAGCCAATATACTGTAGCTCACAACGCTTACATTTAACACAGTATACGACACCACATGTGGAACAGGTAGGCGGGTGGCAGGGTGAGTTGTATGCAGCAACGAAGCGTTTTCCAGAAGTAAAACTGTGAACATATTGAGATTCTGAGATAAATGCGCAGCATCTACAGTTACGTCCACAAAGCAACGTACAAGGGAGAGAGTCGGTAGGCTGGAAGGAAATCTTATGAGAATTATCGGAGTAGGCCACATAGTAAGTAGTGGAAACGTTGCGGAAGCCCACGCCTGTAGCCATTAGGCGCCCGGAGACGCAGGCGTTGGCTCATCTCCAGCCGGCCAACTGCCTGTAGCCGAAAGGCTCGAACCGGACGCAGGCAGTCGCCCATCCGTTCGGCCTATGGTACCCCAAGAGGTACGAGAAACCATGAAGTACTGAGCGTCTCCACGGTGAGTAGCGCGATTTGCATAGGTGTTCCCGACATATACCGCGGTGTGGCAGATGGGTACAGATGTAAGGGGAGTAAGAAGTCAGGAGCCTGCTGCTCCAGATGATGAAGTGGCCTGGAAGCAGTGCTGAAAAGCAAGACGTAAGGCAGGTCAGTACGTACGAGCGGTGTAAGGGATACTGGGTTTTGCTCGTACGTTTGACAACAGGATCAAAACAAATAGCAGCAGTAAACAGCTAGGAGACCGAAGGCTAGGTCATACTCATAGGCACCTTAAGAGAGATGCAAAACATATGAGTACAGAATCACCTGTCGGGAAAAGGTCCTAAACCTGGTAACCACAACGTTGTGACACGGAACACAACTAATATTTTGGGCAAACGGAATTTTCTTTTTTAAGAAAAAAACCCAGGCTGGAACGCACCAGGCGGGCCGGTGCGATTATGCGTTTTTACACTTTTCGTACCGTAGCAAGTTCGCAAAGAGTCAGTGTAACTAACCTTGTGT